TTTTTGGTAATTTACCTTGATTTAAATATTTTTTACCATATAGAATGCATTTCAGCGTTTTGTGATTGAAGATAATCGCGTTATCTATATGTTTATGGATGGATCGAAAGCGTGGGAAGCAAAAGATTTCTTACTCCAACAACAGCAGGTGAGCGAAGTTACTTTAGAAGGCAAACAGTACGATGGACCGGCAAAGAAAGTTACGGCAAAGACAGAACTGTAGTTCATCGTCTAGAACTCATCGTAATAGGTGTTGCTTTTGGCTTTGCTTTGTTGGTTTGTTCAAACTTTTTGTAGTTGAAAAAGTGTTTACTGTAAAGTTGGCAAAATAATTATTCAAAAACAATTCAAAAACATAAGCATAGGAATCATCAGTTTTAGAGTTTATTTTATTTTTATAACTATGTTGCTCAGTGGAATTCATTTTCGGTTCTTTAACCACATTCAGCCACTAGACAGGAATAATTAGCGGTTACAGAAAGAGATATTGGGTAGCTGGAAAACATTCTTTTATGTATTTCCTCATTAAATTTTTTTTGCTTCTTCTCGATTTATCGATACGGCTCTAATGATGGTACCTTGAAGTGTCTTGATATTGTTATACTTCTGTGCATAATATCTTGTTTTTAAATTCAGTAAAGCCTCATGCCTTTTGTTTTAGTCATCAAGATGTTGGGGTTTGACAGAGCATTTATTTTGTAGGCAAAGTTTTTGAGTATTACTCAAAAAAGGAGTTTTAGAAACATTTACAGATTTTGGTTATCAGTCGCTATGGAAGACAAGGGGCAAAATATGCTACAGATGTGAATTGATAGGGAACCTATTCCAGGATTAATTCTTTCTTATAGACAAGCTTTTTTTTATAATCTTTTAAAATTGCTGACGGGGAATAATACCGAGAGAATCTGTTTCAAATGCGGAGATCCAAAGTTGTTGAACTTTCGAGGTTTTTGTGCCCTTCGCGATTTAGATATTGTTGCTTTTCAGAATGTGACATTACTCACTGTTGGTGGAGCGAAAAAAGTGCTAGATTTTTTTGTTTTTAGGAGTTGAGAAAATAAGAGGTTTACTAGGTAATATTCCGCATTCGCTTTCAATTGCTTGAGTAGTTTAATTGGTAAAAATGGGCAATTTTTAGTATTTTCTTTTTCCAAACAATTTTTCTTTATTAGCTTTGGATTCTTCGTTTGTTGTATTTGTTTTTAGGTTTTTTTCTTGTGTCTTTTAAAATAATAGTTAGGATAGTAATAATAGTAATACTTTTAGCAGCATGAAGACTTTTCATTTGAATGTTTTCCTGCTGGATTTTCTTCTTGTTTAAAATGTGTCGCAGCTTCCATAGAGATTAATAGCTTCTTGCCATTCTGGTTAAATGATTTCGCGTAAATAATGCTAGCGATACATTGGCGAATGGGGAAAAGCAGACGGTCGATGTAAGCACCAACTTTGGTTTGATTTATTACACATAGGGTGCTTGCGAACTGAATTATGCTTAGTGTACTAGTAAACATATTCAGTCAAGCACGTTTTCTATTTCCTTCTTAGAACCCGAAGGTTTTTAAAAAGTTTTTGTGTACAAACTTCGTCAACCCAGTGGTCAGTTGCTGTGTGTTTCGTGAGGGGCACACAGAGGAACAGCGGCTTGGATTGCTGCCAACAGTGCAGCTTTATTCCTGTTGAGAGTCATTGAGAGAAGTTGTTTGTGCCCGCTGCGGAAAACAAAATGGAAAAGGGAAAGATAGAAAACGTGCTTAACTGGATACGTTTACTGGTATGCCAACTACAATTCAATTCGCAGTCTCACTCTGTGTAACAAATCAAACAAAAATTGGTGCTTATATTGTCCGTTTGCTTTTCCCCATTCGCCAATATATCAGCGATATTATTTACGCGAAATCATTCAACCAGGATGGAAAAAAAAAATTTCTGCTTAAACTATTAATCTCTATGGAAGCTGCGACACATTTTAAAGAAGAAGAAAATCCAGCAGGAAAACATTCAAATGGAAAGTCTTCATGTTGCTAAAAGTATTACGATTATTACTGTCCTAACTATTATATTACAAGACACAAGAAAAAACCTAAAAACAAATACAACAGACGAAGAATCCGAAGCTAATAAAAAAAAAATTGTTTGGAAAAAAAAATG